ATGTTGAAAATACGTTGTATTTACTGAATTGCTCCAAATTTATAATATGTTCTACAAATCCCCCGGCAATTCATCGCGTTTCATTTTAAAGAAGCAATTTCGTGGCTTTCTTGTTTGATTCGAAAATCGGAGAGCTTACGTTGAAAAGATTTTTCCTCTGCAAAGATTATAGATCCAATGAGTTTTAAGAAATAAGATCCATTTATTCCTCGAACGAGATAAAACATTATAGCGGTAAGCGGTGGGCGGCGCACTAATAGAATATTGCATTTACATAAATCTGCTTTCCATGTATGTATAGATTTAATTTTCTTTTTCTGTATTAGGTAAGCCAACAGTAAAACATATATAAAAATACATAAAGATTAATCAAGTCCAAAAGAAAAGCATTGTATATATATGCATAGATGTAATTTTTTCCAAAAGTCTTGTTACACCTCAAAATAAGATTAATGCGCAGAAACGTTTCAGTCCGTGATTTATTACGACTTTCATTTTTGTCTTACGCAACAACTAGACTTCGATTGGAATTTAATAGTTAACTTTGTATGTTGAATGAATTTTATTTTTATGCGAAAAGTTGTCAAACGAGCAGACGGTTCACCTGATGAATTTTGTATGTCGTTATTAGTGTTATATTATTATACTAGCGGACCCAACAGCTAACATTTTGTAAAATCGGTTCTTAGCTGACCTCTAATCGGCGAAAGGAATATTCCTACCAAATTTCAAGTCTCTACGACTTATGGTTCCAGAGATATCGTGATGAGTCAATTATCGGTGGAAATCTCTTATATATATATATATATATATATATAGATTAAAGAGACGATTGGGCCTTGATTTCAAATAGTTGTGTGCAAAGGACTTTAAAAATGTAACTCTCTTTTAGAACGTTTTAGACGAAAAGACAATCGAAATTCGGCCTATAAAAGGGGCCAACATATCGTGCTCAGGTTACTCCCTGAGGAGACCCTTTTTTAGAGGAGAGAGAGTTTATGCCTTGATACCTACCATCAAGAACGGAAATTATAAATGTTTTTTTTTTTTTTTTTTTAATGTGAGAAAGTGGCGAACGAGCTGGCGGTTCACCTGATGCTAAGTGATAACCGCCTGCCCATGGACATTTGCAACACCCGCAGGGTTGCAGATGTATTGCTACCTCTCAATAATGTGGGCCCCGGCTACCATGCTCATCAGACGAAACGCAGAAGTGCAACACTTCTACTTTACGTCGCTCTTCTGTGAGGTCGTGGTACTAACCCTGACAGACCTGCCCGTACGATTTTTTTTCTTTTTTTTTTTATTGCTTTCAGTCCCGAGACTATTAAAGCTTCATCTGACGCAGAACCGGTGGGCTAGCCAGAACCCACGGGTTTGGGCCCTCCGCTGAGGGTAGGGCCGAGCATGTGCTCATGCGTGCGTTTAACTATGGTGTGTCGTCTAAGCCCGTTCGTACAATAGCGAACACTGTTGCGTGGCCCTACCACCCTACCGTTTTTACTATTTTCATCGTATCAACTTGATTTAAGGGTAGAACTCAGCTGTGGTATCACTAAATTTGGTTAAATCTCCAAAACCTTATCAAAACGTTAAAATTATTTAATTATTTAAATCAAGCCAAACATTATGTTTAGCTTGATTTAAATAATATGATAATGATATTCCAAACGTAAACAGTTGATGTTAATTTGGTTATTGCGAATTCAAATCGCTAACTAGTTTATATGCACATTTTTACGACTCAAAATGTGCTTTGCTGCATGTATTTTTATTAAGAATAATGCAGATAATAAATATGACTATGAACGTAGCAATGTCGGGTTACATCACTGTTTTGTATTATCCTCTTACCTCGAGATTTTCAATTATTCATAGGGTAAGTAACACGTGTTCATCACTGTACACCGACCAATGTACAAGAAACTTATATTTCCAATTAATTATAAAAAACCGGCCAAGTGCGAGTAGGCTTGCGCGAATTGTTCCGTACCATTATCTAGAATGTAATTATATTTGTATGCGCATAAAACTCAGAGGACTATCTTAATTGGCGTTAACTATGTGTGTATGGAGACACCCTTTAATCTACAACTTTTTTTTTTTTGGAAAGTTTCCTTTATTTGTGCTGTAAGACCTACCTTGCTTTTTGCTAAATTTCGTGATTCTAGGTCCAACCTAGAGGGTACTTCCGCTTTACCTAGAATTGTCAATTTTAGTTAAAGCAAGGTCTTACAGCACAAGTAAAGGGAAAATTGAGAAAAAAAAAAAGTTGAAAATTAAGATAAATTTTGGTAGTTACAAGTTTAACTTTGGCCATATCTTTTTATCGTGTTGGCTCAGGACCTTGAACATTTTTATACACGTAATAGGGACTATAGACCTCAGTATCTGGTATAAATTTCAACTTGATTGGTCCACCAGTTCCTGAGAAAATGACACACGGTCAGATAGACGGACAAGAGAGTGACCTTATAAGGGTTCCTTTTCTTACCTTCTGAGGTACGGAACCCTTAAAATGAGAAACTTTTTTGATCACTCTGTTCGATCTTGAACTGATCTAAACACCCGAAGTAACATTCTCAGCCACGAGGCTAACACTTCTTGAAATATTAATGTGTGCGAAATTTTATGACTTTCACCAAATAACGCTCCCGTTCACTGTAAGCCTTATATCGTCCGTTAGTTGACTTTAACGACCCCCGTAAGAGGGAGAGTGATGAGATCTCCCAAAGGGAACCACGCAGTGACTGTTGCGTTTTGCAGGGGTTAACCATTCATCCCATAAATTGGTAACACGTGTTACCACAGTGCATGGTCGTCGTTCATAACTCCTGGCTTATTTTCATATTCTATAAGCAATAAAAATTAAAATGAAAAGACGTTATTAATGTAACTTCCATCAATATTTAAATTCCTACCATTCAAATAATATTACACTTTGATTGTTGTGTGTTCGATTAAAAGGTAACAGTTGATTATAGAACTAAGTTAAAATGTGAACTACGGGTATCGATAATTACCATAAGATTTTTTTTTCTAACGTTGCCCTTACTTTAGGATAACTGTGTTGTAAGGACGTTTAACAAACACAAATTCACGCTGACAAACTCCCAGATGCGATGCAACTATTTGTGGGTCACACAAATAATGGTCTCGTGTGTGAATCGAACCCACGACCCCAGACGCCGAAGCCAATACCTTGGCAAATGCGCCACAGTGTCATCGATAAGATTCATTTACTTATAAATTAAAAAAATCCATTTGATTAATTATACAAATTATACCAAGGAAGTCATGATTAGGGTAAAGCGAGGAATTGTTGTCTTATATAGTTTCTTTTTTGTAGGGTTCTAATCGGAGCATTGACAGAAACATTCATAGAAAAATCAAGTTAGGACCAGAAGCAATATTCAAGAAACCGTTTGAATATGTGAGAGCATTGATAATGAAAAAAACTTTTCCGATCGCAAGCAATTTTCTAAAGTCGATTGACATTAATTCCGCCCACGAATAAAGTGGGCTTACTGATTACATACACTATGGACAAGGTCGAAGTAAGGTTTTTAAAAGTAATTGACTTTTAAAAAGCGACCTAACGTCGTGGTTCAAATTCAGCAACAGTTTGCGTTAGCATATAAATGTTTACGTTTATTCGTTGCCACGTTGGGTTGGAGCAATTACAGTAGCGCTGAGAGTTAACAAATTTATCTGTTACTATGGCTATGATGTTTTCGATACCGCAGTAGTTCGTAAAGTGATAAGTAAGTGTATATGTCTGAATGTTTAATGCATTAAGGATAAGATTTGCATAGCCCTATGAGTGATTTTCCTATATTTTTTTAATTTAAGTCTTATTTTTTCTCCTTTCCCCTGTCCTTATCTTGGGGACGTCAATAGTGCTGTGCATTAGTTTAATTTTTTTTATCGATTGGCCCTTATTAGCGACAAATTATATATTATTACCTCAATGAGTGAGGTCAATTATAAATTTTCGTCACAGCTGACATACGGTTTATCTGATCTCCGCTTCGCCAAGGGGCTCGTTGTTGAGATCAAAACTTTATTTTTATTTTTTTATGTAAAAAGTTGCCAAGCGAGTAGACGGTTCACCTGATGTTAAGCGTATACCGCCGCCCATGGACATCTGTTACACCCGAGGGTTGCAAATGCGTTGACAACCTTTTGAAAATTGGGCTCCGTCCACCTGCACTCCCTACGAAACGCGAAAGTATTATACTTCCACTTTACGCCGGTCTTCTGTGAGGTCGTGGTACTTACCCGAACGAGCCCATTCGTGCAACAGCCGAGGCTACTGCGTGGCCCTACCACCGTGAACCTACTACCACTTTCAGAACGGAAGCTATTAAACGATTTTATTTAATAGATCGTCCACTGTGCTTGAGCTGGCCGGGCTTAGGGTACCTGGCCTGTACTTCAATTATGGGTGACAAAGCTCGAGGATTCCCGTGGGAGCGTCTGCTCGGTCATCACGCTATTGTTATTATTATCGGTTTGGGACACCCCCAAGCTCTTAGATCGGTTTGGCGGACACCCCACGGAGTAACGTGGAGGCTCAAGGACCCCCCTAGCATTCCGATTCGAGGGTGCAAGAGAGGACCTAGGATCGATCTGTAGCTGTTATCTTACCGATTTCGAAATTGTTCAAAATACTGTATTATAAGAATATTTCAATTTTCCAATAATGTATCTTAATCCTTATATCTATTTCTATCATAGCAGTTCCTTTGCCAATACTTAGTAGAGTCTACAATACGTTGAGAGTAAAGCGTTAATGACCCCTCTGTGTGCGGCTTTTGTACGAAATATTTGACAATTACGTATGCGAATTTAGTACTAGTAATTCACAACTATAAGGTGTTTCTCTTATCATCAAGTAAAAATCAAGAGTACCCATAAGTTAATATGATTGTTTATTTATTTTAAATGGTAATTGTTTAATTAATAGTATAGTAAAGTGATGTCCCACTGGTGGGCAAATGCCTCCCCTGTACAGAGAGTACCAGGGCATAGTCCAACACGCGACCCCACTAAGGATTCGAACCAGGGGGATCGAACTCAGGTTGCTCGAGTATATTGAATTAAAGGCGAGCGCCCGGACACTGAGCTATCATGGCTCTCAAGATACTATTATTTTAATATTATTATGATGTTAAGTGATAACCGCCGCATTTACGTTTGCAACACCTGTGAGGTAGCAAATGCGTTGCTCATATACTTTTAAATGAAGTGGGCTCCGTCTACCTCACTCACCAGACGAAACGCAGAAGTGTAACACTTTACGCCGGTCATCTGTGAGGTCATGATACTTACCCGGACGGACCTGCCCATTCGTACAACAATGAATACTCTTGCATGGCCCTACCACAGTTAATATAAACTAACTTTTTAACATACATCTACATTCATTTCATACAATAGTCCGATACATTATGAAGCTGAGATAAAATCGTGCAAAGCAAACGCAACTAAACGAGAATTCCGTGGTAATGTGAAACAGTAAAGTGAGCACAAACTGCAAAACTAAAACATTAAAAATAGTTCAATTGAACGAGAAATCTTGAGTACTGTTGAACAACGAACAGAGCGCAAACTACTGTGTCTGGAGCTTTAACAAACATAAGTTTTCATCCGCCAGACGGCGCTGCCACCCTGGAACGAGTTCCACTGTCGATAGGCTGCGAGGGTTTTGTGGATTTCCTCTCAGTTGCACCGCGGCCGCCGGCGGGGTGGGTGCTGTCTGTGTCCCTCGCGAGCGTACGTCCCGATTCCGTCTTTCTGACGGCGTGGGAAATCGTGTTGAGTGCTTTCTGATGTTTGAGATGTGATACCGCCCACACAGTAAGTTTTGAAAAGTATCGAATATTTTTATAACTGTTTTGGTGATGGTCTTTGCGATGGTTCGGAACATGATTTCGGATCTACTTTGCAAGTTCTGCGGACGATTAGTTATTTTGTTTTCTTTTTATAACTGTCCCTTCCTATTTGAATACGGCAGATATTAATATTTTTTTATTTATTTATTAAGGAGGAGAAAAAGAATTGAACTATTAATAGAGAGTTTAAACTTTTAATATTTTAAATTTTAATACACCAAATCATCATAATGCTTTGCAATGGATAAAATATTATGTACCTATATATTATTAAGTTTCTTGCGTTTTCATTTAACAGTTTTATTAAAAATAGCATAAGTCAGTTTACGTTTTCTAGCATCTATAGATTTTGGTGTTATCATAAGGACAAAATTATAGCAAAACGATTCGCATTATACGGAATATAATAAATATAGCATAAATTTCGAATCCGAATCGTTTTGCAAAGATTTTGCCATTATAATTATTATAATAATATAACACAACAAATTATATTTAAGATGGTCTTTCCAATAGAGTTTGCATTTTTTGATCTGTTTTATTATGATTGGAAGTCTAATCGATCATCATGACATGCACTTGATATGTACGCTGTTGAGAAAATAAGACATTTTTTTCTAAGCGATAAAATGATATTCGGTAATCATAAACTAAATCATATTATTAGGAGTTGATGATTTTTTGTCAGTATCATTGCTAAAAGTATTTAGATTTTTGCATTAAATTGTTTTAACATGAGATGAATGAAATAACCCTGTTTATATATAATATTTAGATAAGGAGGGTTCTTCTTCAATAAATTGTAATGTTTGTAATTTAAGGTATTCAACGTTATCGTTATTGAAATGTTTATCTGATGTAAGGAATCTTTGGAATTTCTTTGGCGTTCACGGTACGTTAATAACAAACGTTACACATAATATTATTTATGTTGATAACATAATTATTATTCGAAGCCAGTTTCGTCCTAGCAACTAAAACTTTAGGGTTACGATCTAGGGTCGCTAGTTAACCTTAGTGCCTTGCACGTATGATCCCTTTAATTAGGAATCCCACTGCGCGAAATCTGTGTCGCATTTGTATGGTGCTAAATTAGTCTCATATTTGGCCCGCCACCTGTTACATTAAGGCCTCAATAAGTTGTAACATTTGGAACGCTAGAAGTGTAGGATAGTACCGTAGGTTTTGTTATGAGAGAAGATTGCAAAGGAGGGGTTGATTAAGCTTACATTCAATTACTATGGCCATTCATTGACAATCGCAACACCTATGGGGTTGTGGTTGTTTTGCCACCGTTTGATAGGGTGGTCCATAGTTACACTATATGTGTAACTAACATATACATCCTAATTTATAACCTACTACCCTGTACTACGAACTCACGGAAGACCTTGAGTTCGTAGTACACTAGAATCCTTTTATTTAAGATATAAAAATATTTCATGGCAACGCAAAATTAAGTCTACCGTATGTCAGTTTCGTCGGTCCTATTATTTTTATTCTCTGAATAAATTATTAGTTGAACAAATTTCACAAGCCGAGAAAATACTGATATCGCTTTATGTCATGCTCATAGACTTTTCACTCGTGCTTTTACGATTGTAGTACAGAAAATTGAAATTTATATACAATATAATGAGGAGTGTTTCCCTTTTCGTGTGGTGCTATTTATCTAGGCAGCACGAGTTTCCATCCTCATTGAATAATTACCATAAAATTAATAATAGTCATTAGTTAGTAACTAATAATATTTTTAGTCTCTAATTATATTGTCTTAAATTTAACTAAAACTGTCAGAATTGTAGAGAAAGGAATCATCGTAATTGAAACCAGTATTTTCTATTTCACTTTCGAATGGTTGAACTAATGGTTGTCATGATGTTGGTAACGATGACTCCATGGCGCAATTGCCAAGGTATTGGCTTCGGCCTCGGGGGTCGTGGGATCGATTCTCACTCGGGACAGCGATTTGTGTCACCAACAGATAGTTGTTTCACATCTGAGTGAACTTATGTTTGTAAAACGTTTTTACGACAGAAGAATTGTTGTCCTAAAGTAATATAGGCAATGTTTAAAAAAAAAACAAAAACAAAACAAAAAAAACGTGCTAAAATTTAACTCGAAATATATTGAAACTGAAATATTTGCTATTTCAACGGTGTACAGAAATTTGGAAACGAAAATCTCAACGAGTTTACTGTGTATGTAAAAAGAATGTGTCCTAAAATATTTATTATTATTATTATTTATTTATTATAAATATTTATTCGGTTAATAACATTTCTGAGCTAAAGATGACACAGTTATATACGAAACAAACTTTTGCCCGTGGATTCATCCATTTGGAAAGCGCAACGGATTTTCGAACTTTCATCCGCTAGCTTTTTTGGGGTTGTTTTTAGAGTTTAAATAATTTCAATTTTCAAATTTTCTTCAACTTATATATTGTTTCCTAATTTCTATCCAAAAGAACCAACAACAATTGAATTATTTTTATTATCTTCTTTATTGAATTAAATTCATGACTTGAAATAGGCAAGCTCAAAGCCAGGGGGAAAGCTATTTTTTTTAAACTTTGTTTCACAAATAAATCCACTTATAGAATAGTAGAATTCGATAACGCTTTTCGCTTTCATGAAGTGTTTTCTTCCTGATTCTTGGACGTTTGTTGGCCCGTATGATTCCAAAAATGTTGTCAATCATCAATGCGAGGAGTGGTAAGAGATTAATGGCATACACTTTTGTGATCTTGATACTGATCTTTCGTCTCTTTTCCACACATATATGAAAACAAGTTCTACTTCTGCTAATATAATGTTAAAAGTACAGAGTGTTGTAAGTGGTAAATCAGCAGTTTAAATTGCAGCTAACAGTATCACTGGTGCTGCCAACAGAATTTTAACTCGGTTGGCTGGAGTTTTACGAAATTAAAGGCCGGTGCCCGACATTGAGTTTGCACTTACGTGTGTCACAGATACGGTAGGCAAATTGCTGATTTCGGATCTTAATTACAACAAAATGCCCGATAATTTCTATCGATAATTGTGACCGCACGCCGGTATACGTGTCATATTTTAAAATAACGATTCGTTAATAATCAATATTCAGGCAACGTGTAACAGAATTCAGACGTGTTATCTCTGTTCATTTGGACACGACGAAACGTAAAAACAGATTCCTTTATTAATAACGAGATTTGTTTTAATACAAGAAATCAAGAAGTGTCCGTTTTATTTAAATAATAACTAACAGAGTAGGTAATTTGACTTGCATACATTTCAATAAACCGTATCGATTGATTTGAAATTTTTATATGACAGTACAGAATGGAGAAGCGTTTTATAAATCCATATATTTATAATGGTCTGGGTAGAATCTTAATTTCACTCCACATATCCATGAGGTAGCTGTGAAGGTCAACATTTGCTGGTTGCTAGCAAGATTGCAACATATATGGTTTGAAGAAAGTCCATGGAAGGTCGTTACTAGGTGAACTGCTTGCTCAGTTGAATCTCAATCTCATATTAAAACTATGGGAGCGAGAAAAAAGGCAAGTATCACCAACGTAATCACGTGAACAGTATTTACGAAAATCCGTCACACGTAAACTTTCGTACACGCGGAAACATAAGCCAATTTCGCAGGGATTTCGGGACCAATACTCGTAAATGAAAATGTAATTTCCGAAACTTCTTTCATTGTAAGCATTGCGTGGAATTGAGCGGTAGTGCGTGAGATCATTTCGCTCCACGGGCTGTAAATTGGTAGTCGTCTCTATACTTGCACTGGTTTAATAACAACACAAAAATCGAATTATACTCATCCTCCCATACCAGATGTTTATCGTGGATTTTTAGACAGTCACGTTTTTATGTTAAGTATTCCAACTCATCAGCTTTCGATAATTTTTAGAGATTTACTAATAACTGTCCGATATGTTTAGCTACATATATGTCGTTGTTAGTTTTTGTGATTTATATTTTATTCATAAACATATTTTTAAACAGGTTAATTGACTGCTTAAAATAAAAATGTATTAATTATCAATTGTGAATCAACAAATTTATCCTACAAAATTTAATTCCCAAATCCTATGAATTGATGAAATGTGTGATATTTTATCATTAAATTTTAAAAAAGCAACGCGAGAAACAATCAAAATTTTACATCTTGTACCTTATTATCACTTTAGGCTCATGCCCAGAGCTAAATTCATATCATTAGCAGACTCGGTTGTAGCGTAAGCTGTCTCTATCCCTTTTTTGGTTATATGGATAAGAGGCTGTATAAAATATACCGATTGATTCTCTTAACTAGACACCCAAATTAGAAAAACCAGGCAACTCCAAAGTGTGAAAAGGTTCTCCGATTTGCCATTCAATATTTATAGCTATCCTGGCATACGATTAGCAAATGTCTGATGAAATAAACCATTTAGACAATAAAAATACAGGCAATAAAATAACAGGCATTTTTAATTTATCTGCATCCATCTCTGGCTCGATACCTGGATTTAACAAAGCCTGCTTTTTTTTAAGATCTCGTAGTGCAACCAAAAGGTTTGATCATATAAATGAATATAGTGCTAGTTTAAATTAAAAGTCCTATCAACTCACTGCATCTCTGGTAAAAGTAATAAGGAACAAAAACATTCATTTTTCTTTGAATCTGTTGCGTTAAACAGACATGGTCAACACTATTTTCTTTTGGGGGAGATAATTTCCTTCCAATTATGAACCGCATAGTGGGGCAGTACATGGGAAAAAAACGAAAAGACGTTTACGTATATCATACAGGGCTTCCACCGCGGATTTGAACTAACAATATGCGCAAAAAGCCCGCGCCGCAACGCCTTCATTGCCGTTGCCTCAAAATTGCTAAAAAATAAATAAGCGGTGCGTTAATTTAATAACAAGTCATAAATCTCGCGTCAGA